GCAGCAGGAGAAAATCAACCCTGAGCCTCATGAACTCAGGTGCGCCCACTCTCTGAAAATGTCTAGGAGCTCGTGGGCCGAAACATTTGTTGACGAGAGATTACTTTTACTGATGATTGGTAGACTCCTGCTGTACATGCTCGCCTGTGGAGTTTCTTCTTACTTATTAAGCTTCAGGCAGAAAGGTCTCTCTGGGTAAAATGCTTCCGTGGCAACAGATTCGCCTGGCGGCCGTATTTTGGAACATACTATTCTGAGGAGTAAACGTTCTGCGTTGGGAGACAGGCATAAGCGGCATTTGGCATTCTTGAAGTAAAGGAGTAGTACCCGCCGAGGTGGCAAATATATTTCAACTTGTGTTAACCCACATCCCATTTCAACTTTTCAATAATTTTCCTTGATTATTGTGTGCTACAGTAAAAATCACCAAAAATCACCGAAAATGCACTTCATGTTAAAAGGAATTGGTGCTAACCGGGCACTAATAACAGTAATACGCTCCTGTTGCAACCAAAATTTTATTCCATATTAACTGAGTGTTCTTGTTTCCTCATTTTTCAGCACTTTGGCTCTTTACCCAGTTATGTTTTGTCATAAGTTCAAACCATCTAATTGCTGTGGTTTGGGTTTTCAACTTCCACCTCATTTAAAGTAAGAATACTTCTTCGATCATGTAGCCGAGAGGTTGGCATATTGTTTTATCACACCTCCATATACATATGAAGCCTAAATGTAAATATGTCTTATTATCCTTACGTGTTTCTTGATTCAATGTTCCGGTCTTTTTAATGCCTTCGCTCATGACTACATTTGGAATGCTCTTAAAATCAACCGATCTTTTCTCGTAAGTAACTTGTTGGATTACTATTTTTGTGACTTTGATAAATCTGGGTTTTTTTTTTTTTTCCGATACATGTTATACTTAAAAATTGTATTTTGCTTGCAGATATGTTGCACTTATTTACCACAGTGTTATCATCACACAATTCATCATCCAGAAAGTGTTTGTAGATTTATAGTCACGTATGTCTTAAACACGGGTAATCCGGAAAAACAGAAGTAACGGTAATTACAAAGAAAAGTGACCCTCCAGAAGGCAACATCAAAGTAAATGGGACAAACCTCAAGCAAGTTGATCTGTTTAAGTACTTGGGTACCCTGAAACATCAGGTGGAAGATGTATTAAAGAAGTAAAATGTCGAATAGCTCAAACAGAGGTAGCATTTTACAAAATAAAAAATATTTTATGCAATCTTTCTTTGTCAACGGACACGAGAAATAAAATTCGTTAAAAGCTATATCTTGATATAAGGAAGTGAATCATATACAGTTAGTAAATTAGTTAAAACTTATCTGGAAGCTGCAGAGACGTAGTTTTATAGACGAATGATGAGAATACCCTGGACAGGTTAAAAAGAGTAATGAGGATGCCTCACGAAGAGAACTGATTGCCCACATCAGAAAGAGACAATCTACATTATTTAGTCATGCGAAGAAAAGGGAAAACACAGTAGGAAAGTTGGAGAGAAGGGGAGACGGAGGGAGATCGAGAGAACAAATGCTGGACAGTTTGACATCGTGGCATGGAGGATCATATGTGTCAGATTTGATTAAAAGTATACCAGACAGAAGGTTATGGATAGACATGACAACCACTGCCTCAAGGACATGGACTTTAAGAAGAAGAAGAAAAATTCGGAAAATGATATGTCTTTCACAAACATGTTGACGTGTTCCTTATGTATGTTTTTTCTAAATTCCTCGTCATATGAGATTTGCAACCTATCATGCAGTGTATTCTCATTTTTTTATTTTTCCTTTAGTCGGTTTTCGAATGGTCACTTTTGTATATAGCTTCTTTGAAAGTAACTATCGCGATTTCTCCTAGTCGTTAAGTGCTCTATAAGCATCTACTGCTAAGCACTTTGGCACTGAACGAGTTAAACAAAATATTCGTCCTCTTTCACATATTCTTACATTTACATATTCTTACATATTCTGTGTGTCTTCTATCGGTATTTGTTCATAAATGGTTTTCAGATTATCATTTTAATACACAAAGTATACAGTTACAAATAAATATTGGGATGGTTTTGGTGAATGGAAATGGGACCCATTGGCATTCTGGCTAACGTGAGAGTTAATGTGAGAGATATTTTACATCTGCCGGACATTGGTAGAGGATAATGTATTCAAGAAAAGAAAAAAAAAACTCGGTAATTCAGAAGGTCTGTTTTTAATCTCCTACTTCACACTATGTGTACGAGTGTTTTCTGTTACATTCCTAGAAAGCCAGCGGTCACATTTCCATTCACCAAATATATCCCCACATGTATTGTAACATCCTACCGTGCCTACTGTACTTGTGGGTAATTGTTTCTTTTTGAATTGACTAAGCTATCAGCCTGCTTCCTAATACAGCGTGTATAAACAATATGATTATGTGTGGAGATCGTTCATAGTCATTGTGAAGATAATTTAATAGCAATGGCTTCAGTTACTGCTGTCAGTACTGTATTTAGGCATGAGCTAACTAAGCTACAGGTTAGGGCCTCACAGTATGTAGGGGCTTAAAAAATCTTCTCTATTTTTTACAAATGCAATTTTTTTTTCTTCAAGATTACTGTTTTTAATTTCATTTTCATTTTTTGAATATATTATCTCAGGCTTGTACTTATTTCAAATTGTTGTAGTGTTTTCAAATTGAATATAAGCAGCTTTTTATGCGTCATTTTCCGCCTTTTATTAACGTTTATTATCTGTGATTCACTTGTATCATTTCAAACGATAGGGACGTCAGGGCTTTGTATAACTTAGGGCTTCACCAAGTCTAAATCTCAAACTGTCTGCTGTATTATACTTATCGCACGGCCAGTCTTTTATCGTTTGTTAGATTGATTACTTTATTTGCTTTACAGGTGAGTGACTGCATTTTCGCTTTTCTAATGCACAAAACTAAATTTATGTGAAGCAGTCGGTGTTTAGTGAGGCAGGTAGGAAGGTAGGTGAGAAGTAAGTAGGCAGGCGTCGGGCAACGAAGGTAGCTAGGCCGGTGTGTTGTTGGTGACAACGTAGGTCGGTAGATAGGTTAGTTGATTGGTGAGTGCGTAAGTAAGTAGCAATAAACAAGCATCACAGTACATATACGAACCGCCGTGTTGGAGCGGCTAGATGCTCGCCTGTAGATCTGAAGGCGGGAGGGGGGGGGTGCAGATCCGTATGGTGTCGAATTTATTTCAAGCATGATCTTGGCTCCAAGGTCGACCTAGCCTTAAAAAAGTGCCAGCGAAAGTCCATGGGAAGTAAAGGCCACCCTTCTGATATTGACCACATCACCTATATAGGTCTATAAAAACAACTATGAGTTTAGCCTCATGTTCCCGATGCATCTCTGGCCTGTATTGGGACATTTACTTTATTTATTTATTTATTTATTTATTTATTTTGTCTTAATTGTTTTGAGCGTTTTTATCACAAATTTAAGCTGGCAATTACATCACAATCATCGTTACTTTAAATGTGTACGTCCATGATGAGTATCCTCCTTGTGGAAACTATAGCCTTATTTAAGGGAGCTGGTGAATCATCCCACTGTACCCTAATAACCATGTCGTAAAAGGCGACTAATTAAGCCTTTGCTGAAATCTGATACGTTGAACCGAAAGGCGCGTTTATCACTGCCCCAATGTAAACCATAGCGCAGTGGACCAACCGCTCTATAAAGGGCAAACGCAGAAAAAAACGAAAAAGACTGTTGATGATGTTATCAGAAGAATTCTAGACCAACCAGCTGGTTATGTGCTGAATCTTTTAGTATCTGCTACGAGAAGTAAACGAATAAACTAATTTATTGTTCAGTCACGTAATTTAAATATTTCTGCATTTTATTTATTTCAGAAAATAAATTATTTTTTCATGCATGCAAATTCACAACAAAAATTACTACTTACATGTTTTTCACAACATGTTGTTATTTCGCTCATGTTTTTTCACAGGATCTTGCTATTTCACCCATGCATTTCTATGAAACCTTAGCAATTTACTATTTTGATTTCACAAAACGTTACTATTTCACTCATGCGTTTTTACAAAACGTTAGTAATTCACTTATGTGATTTCACAAAAAGCTACTATTTCACTCATGCTTTTCTACAAAACGTTAGTAATTCACCTATGTGATTTCACAAATCGTTACTGTTTCACTAATGCGATATTAAACAACAACAGAACGTTTTTTAATTTACTTTTGTGATTTTACAAATCATTATTATTTCACTCATGATTTTCTACAAAACGTAAGTAATTCACAAATGTGATTTTTGGAAACGTTACTATTTCACTCATGCAATTCTAAAAACAAACGTTATTATTTCACTTATGGACTAATAACTACTATTTCATTCATTGATATTGATTGATAACTACTATTTGCTTTCTGCATTAGAAGTGTTGTTTATTTCATGTATGCGTTTTAATTAATGTCTGCTATTTCATTTACGCATGTAGACTAATGTCCACGTTTTTAGCCACCCATTTGTGGCTAATATTTACTATTTCACTTAAGTATTTAGAATATTAGCTGCAGGTATGTTTGTCTGTTCTGACTAATATTAGTGGGGATCACCCTGCCCGTCGTTTCCTGGCGACTTATCAAATACAGGAGACGCTATGCGACGACACTTACTACCTGGCTCACCCTCGCAATTCATCCTCCCGGCATGCGTTTTCAGACCATGCTTTCCCGTGAAGATTTTCCTTGATGTACCAGCGCGGTTGTTGGGCAGAAATCTCGATCCAGGAACTGCCGGGGTCCGTTTCGTTCGCATTAGTAGAAATGGGTCCTTTATTCTCCCTTCCTTTCGGATGTTATATGAACGTTTAATGTTGCCACAAAGTACATTGCGAATGTTGCATTGGACAAGGTCTAAGCCGAAGAACTATCGAAAGAGAAATGTCTGAGACTGTGACTGCTCAAAAGATTACATTTCGTAACCAAGAAGATGAAAATTCACAGCAAAGTTCCATTAATACTTTAAAACCAATAGGCACCATTCTTCTTCTTTTTCTTCTTCGTTTGCAAGTGAGTTACGAAATTTGCACATCCAATTTCAATACACACCTAATTTCACAAAATTCCTAATCAGTCATCTTTTACGAAATACTTTATGAAGAGTGGTGGGTCCATTTTTACCCCTAAACCTGCTCGGAATCATCATCGGGAATTACTATACAAACACAGAGCAAAGAACACTCACGCACGCGCACATGGGACATATACACAGAAACCACACAAGCTCATCAGGGACGAAAAGCTACAGAAACGCCAGTCAAAAAAAAGTGTCACTGGTTGCCGTTTACAAGCAACCATAGAATAAAACATGAAAAGGTAGATGACTATTAGCAAGACGAAATAAAGCGAAATCAGTGGAATGCGTTTCGATGTCACACAGATATAAAATCCTTCTTTTCTTTCTAAGAATTTTATCCATCTTGTCTTTACCAGCTTTTTTTTTTTTTATCATCATTATAGTTCTGATAGTATCTGAGGCCATTTTTCAGGGGCCGAATTTTCTAACCCATAAAACAGCTTTTACAATATACACGAAGAAAGAACATACCGTTTTGCAACGACAGTAGAACAATATTTTCTTTGCACCCTGGCGCCCTTTGTGGGTAACAATATTCCCGTTGAACGACTTCTATTCGGTTTCCCTGTGGAATGTTACTGCGAGGCGGGGAGAAGGAATGTGTTTTGTTTTTATTCTGTTTTAAATTTATAACCTGTTCATGTCTGATAATCTGCTTTATGTCTCTCATTAAGGCGGCCGAGAAATGTTATATTTAGTAGCGGATGTCGGGAAGATAGCGGCTATATATTTATTTTTGGAAACGGATGTAAGAAAGAAGGCGGTTTCATATTCGAACGCTAAAGGTAAAATGATGTCCTCTGGTAGATACTGCTCAAAGGGCAAGAGTCATATTGTTGTTGATTATATCCTTCTTCTTCTTGTTCTTCTTCTTCTTCTTTTTCTTCTTCTTCTTCTTCTTCTTCTTCTTCTTGTTCTTTTTCTTCTTCTTCTTCTTCTTGTTCTTCTTCTTGTTCTTTTTCTTCTTCTTCTTCTTCTTCTTCTTCTTGTTCTTCTTCTTCTTCTTCTTCTTCTTCTTCTTCTTCTTCTTCTTCTTCTTCTTCTTCTTCTTCTTCTTCTTCTTCTTCTTCTTCTTCTTCTTCTTCTTCTTTTTCTTCTTTTTCTGCATCTGCTTCTTCTTCTTCTTTTTTTCTGCTGCTACTGTTGCTTCTTCTTTTTTTCCCTTTGCTTCTAATTTTAAAAACATAGAGGGAGAGGAAAAAAAAATTAACATCCGTCTTTTTCTAGAAAGGAGCTGGTTAGTGGGGAAAAAAAACACGCTCGAAAATAATGGGGAATCGACAAGCATTCTAAATAACCACTGTGACACAAATGGTCCCATTTAGGTCTTATTGTTATCTACTCACATGATTAAAGCTAATTGACTTTTTCTGAATAATTTACATCACAATTGTTTTAAAAAAATGTTTTTTTCTGATCTGTCCAGATACTCCAGATTACAAGACATTCAAACCAGGTAAGTGAAATCGTGGTTTCTAATTGCTCATCTGAAATGGAATAGCTGTTTTATTTCTAATATATTAAAATATTATAGTGTCATTTAAAATTGGCAATACCAAAGAAACAGACTGTGCCTAGAAAAGACAGTGGTATTTATTTTTAGCAAGGTGATAAATTAAAAAATCTTAGCCGACTTTTTAAAATTGACTTGGACTCCCAGCTCGACTCAGCCTAAAGTCGGTACTGATTACCGTTCTGTGCGAATATGTGAGCACATCACCCATCAAGTGCCATGTGGCCAATACAAATAAATCATATACTACTAACGTATACGCTAGACAGGCACTAAAATAGCAACCATGCGGACTAAGGAAACGAGACAGTCCAAGAATAAGCCCTAAACGAACTCTGTTGGGAGAAGTAAAAGCTGCTGGACTGGATTCCATCCATGATATTCAAGAGAATTGCACTAGACTGAAGAGATCGAGCGAACGAACAAACGAACGAACTTCGTTTTCAAAGGTTTGAGATTTGGGCACGCAAGCCGTCTAAAATTATGCCCTTTTAATCTCCATAATTTCATACACCTGTTCATTCATACATCAAGAAATACAAGGGAAAGTCAATAAGTAAACCACAAATGTACTTGGTTTCTAAAGGTGTCAATAGGTGACAGCAACATTGAACTTTAAGTCTGCTTCGTTAGGCAGCGCTAGGTGTAAACAATATCACCAGCAGCTGAATATTAAATACTGGCACTGGAATATGCATATTTCTAACTACAGTAAACCGTAGTAATTGTAATAAATCTATGAGCGATAGTCTGTAAGATACTTTTATCTTTTATGGCAGCATCTGGTCTCTGCTCCGATAACATTCGAACAATTTCACATCATAGGTATAAAGGCTTGTGATATTTGTGATTTGGCGTGGAAGATGGTTAAAACAAATTGAGGTGCAGAGTACGCTAAGCTTGTTATCTATTGGTCTATCCTCGGTTAAGGGTATGTAATATGTGTAGGCTTTGCTGTGCCTATCATTATAATTAAACAGAAAAAACAAGTTAACAGATTCTTTTGGGGTAATATTTTGTGAAAAGGTTTAACCTTATTTGAAAAGAAGACGTTCGTAGCGCTGTCATATCTTTTAAAACTGGGCGTCCTATGAGACGTATAACGACACGACAAAGTGATTATGAAGAATGGTAACCATATACCCAATGGTGACGTGGTCACTCGCTGCAAAACTGAAAAGAAAATTACTAATCCTCGACATTAGTTGTCTTAGAAAGGTTGTGTGAGTGACCAGAAGGAAATGAACACTGGGAATGAAATCGCGGGAGACACGTCAGTATAGCGCCATTACAAAGCAAATTACTACAGCAAATCAAATAGAAGTCGGAGTACATCTGCCGGTGCAGCAGGAAACGGCAAACAAATAAGCCAGTAAAACGGATGTACACGCAAAACTCAGGTTCAGGTAATAGCCAAAAGTCCAAATTGACGAACTACCGGGACCTTCCGCCGGAATTCACAGCCGGTGAACGAAGAAAAAGAAGAATTACTCACTTAACCTGAAAGAAAGCCTTGTGAAAGCAAAGCTATTGATATATATATATATATATATATATATATATATATATATATATATATATATATATATATATATATATATATATATATATATATACTAGAAGAAGAGAGGGGAGTCGAACCCGAAGTAGATCAAGAACATGGTGAAAGATAACATTAGAGAAACTCCACAACAGTTATGACGTGTCTACGTTCCACCCCAATAGAAAAGCAGACGCCGTAACCTTGTATTTCCCTTAAAACCCAAAGTGGTTAAAAACAAAGATTAAAAAGACCAAATACCTAATACTCTTGAAAGCTTGTAAAGGTACCTTTTAAGAAACGTAACTGAAATATCATCGCTAATTTTATGTTGCAGAAATCAGCATCCACGGAACGATATTTGTTGAGCGAGGAGATACTCTAAGGCTTGTGTGCAACGCAACAGGAAGTGAATATCCCCCAGACTCCATTGACTGGTTCAAGGACGGAGATAAAATAAAAAATAAGTAAGTAAACACACAAAAACAATTTTCTTTTGTTACAAAATGTTCTTTTCTGGCACATGTATTATGTAACAAGCTCCTTTGTATATTTTATTCATGAGAAGCTAAGCGTCAATTACAGCAACCTCTGGAGACGCATTTTTCTCCTGAGTGTTTTATTCAAAAATAAATGTTAGAACAACGAAAAAAAAGGTGGCTCAGTGATAAAATTGTAAAATTACAAATATCTAAATGCCATACAAAACATGGAACTAAAAGTAATTGCATTCGAAAACAAACTTCTAAGGAAATTGATGAACATTAAAAGGATGAGTTCTAGAGAAACTAAAAACATGTAAATGTGCAAAACCGCTTGTGTAAACAGTTTTTTAAAAAAGGGAGAAAAAAAAAGTGGCAGTATATATATCATCATCATCATCAGGGACCTTGCCGATTGGCGTGGGCGATCATGCCTCTCCACAATATATATATATATGGCCCATCCTCAGAAGGAGCCAACAGAGAATCACCAAACAGTCATTGAAATTGGATGGGACACAGATTAATTAAGGGAAGAGGACGTCTAAGAGAAACCTTATGAAGAGAGTTTTTAAGAAAGACCAAAGGTAGTGGGTGAGATTACATCTGTAAGATCTAATGACTGAACATGATAGAACAAAATGGAAGAATAGACTGCGAGCACAAGGTGACGTTGGAGCCGCCACTGTGTAGCGGCTAGACTCTCTCCTGTGGATCCAAAGGTCGTTGGTTCAAATCCGAATGAAGCTGGACTTTTGTCAAAAAGGATCTCGGTCACAGGTCGACACAGCCTTACATGGGTAGTAGGTAAAAGTCGTGGGAAATAAAGGCGGCTGTCGTGATGTTGACCAGCTGGGTGCAGACTGATCCATAAAATATAAGTCTAGCACTATTTGCCAAATACGCCCGAAGTTGGGGGAAATGGTACCCTTACTTTCACTGTTACTAGGTGACGTAAAATATGGGACATAATATCACACACCGTCGTCCGTGGCTTAGGCGTTGCGAGTCCGACTCGTAATTCCAACGTTCCGCGATCAAAACCTACTGCTGGCTGCGTGGAGTTTTATCATAGTATGTGGCGTCGCAGGTCAACCCAGCCTAAAATGGGTACCGGAATGTATGTCCTGAGGAAGTAAAGACGGCAGGCGTAATGCTGACCACATTACCCACCTAGTGCCGATTGGTCTGAAAAAATATGGGTACTCTTTCCATATGCTCGATGCGCCTAAAGACGTGAAAAGGGATCTTTACTTACTTACACATCACACACAGAACAGCTGACTGCTGAGAATGGCCGAACTTTAAATAATTATATTCAACAACCCCTTCCTTTGTAAGCAGACGGAATTTATAGTAAATCTAAAGTTACCATGGTAAGTCACGTGACAACGGAATCTAGACAAACCCCGATGCATCGAGACTACGCATTTCAGTTGGATTTATTCGCTTTTTTGAGCTTCATTTTATGTTGATGTAGCTCTGTGTTATGTTGATGTGGCTCTGTTTTATATTGATGTAGCTCTGTTTTTCGTTGATATAGCTCTTTTTTATGTTGATGTAGCTCTGTTTTATGTTGATGTAGCTCTGTTTTATGTTGATGTAGCTCTGATTTATGTTGATTTAGCTCTGCTTTATGCTGATGTAGCTCTGTTTTGTGTTGATGTAGCTCTGTTTTATGTTGATGTAACTCTGTTTTATGTTGATGTAGCTCTGTTTTATGTTGATGTAGCTCTGTTTTATGTTGATGTAACTCTGTTTTATGTTGATGTAGCTCTGTTCTATGTTGATGTAACTCTGTTTTATGTTGATGTAGCTGTTTTATGTTCATGTAAGTATGTTTTATGTTGATGTAGCTCTGTTTTATGCTGATGTAGCTCTGTTTTATGTTGATGTAGCTCTGTTTTACGTTGATGTAGCTCTGTTTTATGTTGATGTAACTCTGTTTTATGATAATGTCGCTCTGTTTTATGCTGATGTAGCTCTGTTTTATGTTGATGTAGCTCTGTTTTATGTTGATGTAACTCTGTTTTATGCTGATGTAACTTCATTTTATTTTGATTTAGCTCTGTTTTATGTTGATGTAGCTCTGTTTTATGTTGATGTAACGCATGTTTTATGTTGATGTAGCTCTGTTTTATGTTGATGTAGCTCTGTGTTATGTTGATATAGCTCTGTGTTTTGTTGATGTAACGCATGTTTTATGTTGATGTAGCTCTGTTTTATGTTGATGTAGCTCTGTTTTTATGTTGATGTAGCTCTGTTTTATGTTGATGTAACTCTGTTTTATGTTGATGTGACTATGTTTTATGTTGATGTAGCTCTGTTTTATGTTGATGTAGCTCTGTTTTATGTTGATGTAGCTCTGTTTTATGTTGATGTAGCTCTGTCTTTATGTTGATGTAGCTCTGTTTTATGTTGATGTAGCTCTGTTTTATGTTGATGTAGCTCTGTTTTATGTTGATGTAGCTCTGTTTTATGCTGTTTTATGTATAATGTATTGTTTGTGTCCGCATTATTTAAATGACATACATATGATGGTTTGACAATGAAATGTAAAACTGCATTCCCTTTCGCAGATAGTGCTGCTTGTAGGGGGGGTAGGGAATCATGTCCGCATCATTTAGGTCAGACACGTAATAATAAGATGGAGTAGACTGTTACCTTTACTAGCAACTTTCCTACCCAAGTAACTCGCATAAATTACAAAAAATTGTGTCGTATCCATTTTTATGAGACTAGATCTACCTGAAAGTTCTCTGCCAATTGCTAATTACTGCCTGTGTTTACCACGTCTGCTGTGTAGGCAATGGTGTCTTTGAGCCTGAGGATCTAGGGCCATATGGCTGGTGCTGTCGCCACATACTGTGCAAGTTATGTCTTTATTTTTGTTACTGATAGAAAAACAAATCCTACATCTTACCGAGGTTTTGAACATGAACCCCTTGCATGAGAGCCCAACGTTCTTAACCCTTCGCCCAGTCGCTCCTACCTGGAATTCGTACTGGTGGTAAAATAAATAATCCTGTTCAGGATTGACTCCTCGGTAAACAATGTCACAGAGATCACGCCGTGTTGAGCTTTCTGCTCCACTCATAAGCTTGCTGGACTGATAGACATGCATTCCTATACTTGAACTTAATTCGTCGACCAATATCTATAGGTTCCATACCTTTACTGATGAATAAACAGGTAACAGAAGGCTGCACCTCTTTAGTACATGTCAAAAGTGGGACGGCCATCTTTAAACTGTCATCATTATGACGTCGCCGTTTTCGATTTTTACCGTGATGTCATATGACAGTGTTGACATTTTTTACAATATTGACAGGTTACAAGACAACGGCAGGGTTATTGTAAATTATATCAAATTTAAGGTTTTCATTTGAAGTCACCTTATATAAATTTCCTAGAAGAGAATTTACTTAAATTATGTCTGCCCGGTACAGAACGAGTTGAAGCCATAGATTATTCCAGGGAAAAAAAAGTTGACAGCTCTTATCTATTATCTCATACGAGCAGGCGTATTTGGCTTGAATTTCTCTTAGTAGTTTTTGTGATGCTTTCAAGCACCGGGCTATTGGGTCATGTAGCACATAACAAGTCATAGAGAGATTAGTGCAAGCTAGTTGCAGTTTCAGAGACAAAAATGCTGCTACATTTCTGTCAGTTGTAGAACTTGAAATGTAAACACTGAAACAGATCCATATATGATAAGTACAACTATCTCTCTCTCTCTCTCTCTCCCTTTATTCTATCTATCTATCTCATATATCTATCTATCTATATATATATCTATCTATCTATCTATCTATCTATCTATATATCTATCTATCTATCTATCTATCTATCTATCTATCTATCTATCTATCTATCTATCTATCTATCTATCTATCTATCTATCTATTATCGATCTATCTATCT